TTATACTGAAACGGAACATGTAAAATATTTTCGGAACACGGGTCATAGGTTTATGAGTTTTTTTTGTAGAACGTTTTTGTAGTAAGATCAAGTTGACGAGTGTTGACGTCCATCACTCATAGCGGAACAGAGATGGACGATTCGGAGCCTTCCGCCGGTGTAGAAGTCGAGAATCGCAAGTCCGGACTGACTTTAGAGCCAATTATGTTGTTAATGTGTCTCGGAATAAACGCAAAACCGTGAGTACTTATAAGTTGTTTTTTGTCCTTGTGAGTTACGACTAGGGATGTGAATTTAATGCACGGTAAAACTTTCAAAATATGAAGTCAAATATAACATAATAAAAGTTAAAAGATGTAAAAAAAATCAGAAATGCTATATAAAAGTTTCAAAATTGAAATCGTTGATACATAATTCACACTCTATTCTTTTTTGATTATTTTGAAAATACTGTACATTGTTACGTTTGTCTCCCAAAATAACCAACTAGATTCAATTTTCTACCAAAAACCTCACTTAAACTTTAAAATCTAAACACTTAATATTCCGAAAGCTGATGCCTGATAAAATAAACACACGTAACAGTGGCGTACCCAGGATTTTAGAACTGTGGGTCTGCCTTACTTACGAGAGGCCACTGTGTAGAAACTTCAACCAACTACCTATATAGTTAGGTATTACAAAGTCACTCTGGGCTCGCGATTTACCTTATTAGTTATTTACATCACATTTTGATACCAACGTTCAATATTACTATATCACATATTTTTAAGTAAATTGTAAAATTTACTTACAAGCTTTAATAGCTATATTCAATTTATTTTTATTTTTATTTGTTGCATTAAAATTTATATTCAATTAAAAAATTTACCTGACATATTTAAATCATTAGAAGAAATTATACAAATTTATTATTTTATTTGTATACGTATATTTGCAGTATATTTATTTTATTTTAGTTTTCAATGACTGATTTCATTTTCACAAGAGATATAGAATAGGTGGTTCTAAATTCTAATACAATAGAAAAGTCAAAAATAATACATTAATAAAATTTATATTTAATAATACCTACATGAAAATAATAGTAAAGAACTAGAACATTACAATCATTTTCTGCGCTTTTTCATTAGTGCGAATTATGTACTATATTATGTACTAATTATGTTAACAAAATCAATGGTTTGAGCTATGTTGCTTTCTATGCTCAATATGGCCAAATTTGATAGCCTGTCTTCAGTCATAGTTGAGCTAAGGCATGTTTTGAGAAGTTTTAGAACGCTAAAACTTCTTTCTGCAGTTGCACTGCTGACTGGTATAGTGTATAAAAAATTTTATACAAAGTAAATAAATTTGGATATGAAGAAACCATGTCTCGTGATATCATGAATTTTCAATACATCATTTAATTTTAAAGGTCCAGTTACTCCAGTTTCAATAGTTTTGCCATTTGTTGGTAAACTAGATGTAATGAACGGTATTCCACTTCTATATCAATTTCATCTATGTCAACTTCATAAAATCTTATATAATATCTATATCCAACATATTTTTATACTTGTGTTTATCGAATTTTAGGTACGTACATTATAAGTTGATAAGCTCAAACACAATTTCGTACGCGTTATTTTACTTCAATACTCAGTCTTCACAGCTGCTGTATATACGATATACCCCTATATCATAATAGCAGATCTTCGATATTTTGAAGGGGGGGCACATATAAATTGTATAATTTTAATTTTAATTAATAATACATACACACTATCAATAATGATTATAATAAGTAATAATTAATAGTTGGTAGTATTATCCTTATCAACTGTATGTTTCATTTATATGATACTCGTAGTTACATAACAACTTGTCGACAGAAAATTGACAAGGGGCACGTGCCTCTCCTCTAAATTCACCACTGTACATAATTTTTTCAAATAAAAAAATGTTTATATAGTTTGCCATTTCGAGGGGCCACATTTAACTGGGAAAACAACTGTGGGTCAGCTGACCTCCCAAACCCCCCCCCTGGGTCCGCCCCTGACACGTAAAATCAATACATTTATAATTCATTGGTCTGTTTCGACTCTAAAAAACTAGGTAAAAAATGCAATTAAAAATTAAAGAATGGTGAAATTGCTCTGCTGTATAACTAGTTTCTTTTGAGTGTACTTCATTGTCATTTTCATCGTTTACATTTTACATAAACAAATTATCTGTATTTTATATGAAGTAAAGCCAATACCACTGACATAGCATGTAGAATATTGAAATTATAATATATGTTTGTCTTTTAAATAACATATTATCATAATAATTAATTTAAATATTTTAAATATTTCATTGTGTATAGAAAACAATAATATACATAGTAGTAGTAAATAATTTCAAGTCCTTATTTTATGTTTGAGTAACCAATTTTATTAAATTGTGAACTTTAATTATTTTTAAAAAAAAATTGTACAAATGTATTTCTAATTTATTTCTATTATATAATTCTAATAGATTTCTTTAAGTATAACTTTAATCCCAAGTTATTAAAATTGAAAACCTTCACTAAAATTGTTTTTTTTTTTAAGCTTTTGGGCACCTAGTCATAATAATTCGAGTAATAATTTATAAAAAAAAGCTAAGAAATATCAAAAATATCGTCCTTATCAGGTATATCAGATTTATCTGGTTTAACTTTTTTGGCTTTAGGCATCTCAATTTCTTTTTTGCTTTTCCCCTTCTGCTATTTTTTCTCCTTCTTCTCCTTCGCCCGATGAATCTTCAAAAGTATATATGAATCGAGATTTTTAAAATGCTTAAGACATTCTATAAAACACGCCGTGCAAACCTAAACAAACCACCATAATTTAAATCAAACTACCTATGTGTAATATTTAATTTGCTATAAACAATATCAATTACCTCTTTGCCAGGATAGTAATCAAAGTCATAGTAATGACACGTAATTTCCACCGCATCTACCAGGGCACCACCATTTCTACAACGCCTGTTTATACATTTGAGTTGACGCCTCTGTTCCTCCTTTGTTTCAGTGCAGCTATGATGTGGTTCCAAATTTTTACTTGATGAGGCCATCTTTGTTTTCTAGTCTAGAAAAGACAAATCACAAATTAATAAACAAATAAAGCATTATATGTTTAATGTGTTTATGGTATACACTATACCTTCTACACAGATGGAGATGTACAAATTATGTCCAAATCTAACTCTGGGGTTGTAGTTACTCAAATAGTAAATACATACCTAAATATAATTTACAAACAGAATCATTTACAGGAAATTTGAATACTTGAAACAGTTGAAACTGAACATGTAAATAGTAGATAATAATTATTGTATTAGTACTTACCTATAAGTTATATTTAATTCGTTTACATTCGATTATCGATGTCACTAACGGGCTATCTAGTATCTAGTATCTATATGGTCTACAGAAAACGAAAGAACCAAACTTTAATAATCTATAAAGTAAATTTTAGTATTAAGAAAGTAAAATTATTAAAACTAAAAAATTACAAAAATCTAAATAGTGTAAACAAAATAATTAGAGGTTAACTTGGCAGTTTGGCGGGCCAAAAGCCGTTCTCTTACAAATGATAAGGGAAAAAAAAAATAATCTCATACCAACATTACCAACCGATAAAAATGTCAATGTTCAAAATCATAGAAAATAATAATTTAATATCAGTTTTAGGGCCAGCTTGTAGTAAATGTACTTTTTTATTAATGTTTAATGTATCATCTTTATTATCTATGGTATTAATGTACTTTTCTCTAACACCTGTTGATTAATCTAATGAGTAATTAGTATTAATTAATTAAAATTAAAATTCAACCGCCAAATTACAAAAAAATGGCTTTTAATCAATTACTCGACCACGATTACTTACTTAGTAGTAAGTATTATTTATTTATATATTACATTTATATTGACTCAACATTACTTTCAGATAATGAAGATTATATAGATTTGGAAATTGTAGTAGATGAGGAGGATGAAGATTTAGATGTTATTGTTCAAGAGGAGGAAGATGATTCAGATGATATTGCAGATGAAAACAACGGTATTTTATAAATTATGAGATGTTTACAACATTAAAACACTTGTTTAAAACAGAAAAACATCATTTATTATTTTTTTTGTTTCATAATCAAATTTGAAATTTATAACATTTATATTAATAATTTTACTTATTCAAATCACTAACAGTATACTTCTATGGTTATATTACTGCTGTAGTTGTGTAGGTAATATATTTGTTTAATTTTAATTTTTAATACCTATTTCATTTACAAATTACAACACAAACTTGAAACTTATACAACAGAATTATAAAATATTAAAATGTATTGTTTAACGTTTACTGTTAACTCATAACAGTTAGCACTTAACAAGTTATAATGTAAAGCATAAGTTATATAGAAATTAGAAATATAATTATTAAAATTACATACCAATAAATAACATAACAATTAGTAATTAGTATTGTAATTATCTTAAAACAGTTGAAAAAATCGTTTAAAAAAAACATATACATGCAATAATATCTATAATAATGCTATAATACAATTGGTAATTAAATTAATATGACAATATAAATCTTTAGATATACAACGACAGCGAGCAGAAACCTTCATAGTTTTACCTGGAGTAAAGTATTTATGGACAATATAAAAATACAGATATTATAAAAATGGTGCTAGGAACAATAAACCGTAAGTACAACTGATACTTATGATATTTAGCATAAACCGATGTACTAATCTACAAAGATCTCAATATAAATGTTTCATTATTTACTTATTTGATGTAATATTAGTTATCGTATTACTATTACCTATGTAGATATTTAATCTGTGAAAATCAGAAAAATGTGGCTGAATTTTGTCCATCAACAGCTTGGGTTAGGTCTGAAGATGTTATAGAAGGTAAAGGTACAATAATGACCAGACTCCCACACAACCATTTACCTCCGAATGTGGACATTCCAATGGTTTATTTAAGGCGTTCTATTGGTTTGGCTGGAACGAGTACTGGCAATTTAGCTACCTCCATTAGGCAGATATATAACCAAGAAGTTGTGTTGTAAGCACTTTTTGGATTAATATCATATATTTGCACACTTGTTCTAAAATTATACAATTCTTACAATTACCATTGCAGTATCTTGAGTGAAGACACAGTTTATGATCTGAGTTAATAAGTTCATTACAAGGGTATTATTATACATTTTTTAAAACTAGAGGGAAATACTCCTAAAGTTATTGATAAATTATAAATAATAAATATAGGATAATTCTGTTATTCTACAATTTTTATTTAAGATATCCCAAAGTTTGTCGACAAATCCATTTGATTTTATATTAATTTCTATGTCACCACCAACTTTTTAATTTAATAACTATAAATGTCATAGGAATCCTGAAGGTGCACATGATTATACTCATTTACAGTCCCGGTCGAGCCTCAATAAAATGAGACGTCGTCGATGCCCGGTAAATCCGAAAACGGTTGATCAGTTGGCACATATCCTCAACGAACCAAAGGCTATAGCCTATGTTTCAACCCTGCATCACCCATCCTCAAGGTCTGCTTGGATATTTTATGTTAAAACTTCAAATGTATGTTTTCTTTTTACTATATTCATATCCTATTTTATTATTTAGATTTTTTCAGCATAATTTTCCATTAATGGTAGATGGAGAACGTTTAGGAGTAATATTTGCAAATACTGATGCCATTGAAAAATATAAAGGAGAACTACTTCAGTCAATCACAATGGCAGGAATAGATGGAACTTTTAAGACTGTTCCAAAAAATCCAACCGATTTGAAAAAGGGTTGCCTACTTACTTTCCATATAGTGTTCAGAAATGTGGTAAGTTAGGTTTTTTGTCAATAGATATTATTATATTAATTGTGAATGCACTTCTTCTTTATCTGGCTCCTAATATTCTCAAAAGAGTTCACCGCCATCCCTCCATCATGTGTATACATTTAAAAATTATATATGATTGTTCTATTCAGTCTTTTCCAATGGTGTACGCATTGACTACAAGGATGACCCAGTCCACTTATGAGTCTGTCCTCAGAAGTGTACTACAAATTTTACCACTGAACTACAACCGACTTACTATAATAACTGATTACGAACGAGGTTTAATGAACGCTGTGAGGATACTATTTCCGCATACCAAGCTTCAGGGGTATTGGTTTCATTACTGTCAAGTGAGTAAAAATAAACTCATGCTCTGTAATTTTTAATGAATTGGACTCAAATAAAATTATGTAGTCTGTTATCCGGTACTGTAAACGAAGCATGCATAGTCTATACGATCTATTCCAAACTACTGTCGAGGCTGCTACAGTTTTACGCATGGTAATATTATGATGAATAATTCTTGTTTTTGCTTCTTCTCCACTACATCCAACCATCTTTTTCTGGGTCACCGCCAGCCTGTTTCCCGTTGGCTTTTTCTCCTGTAGTTCTTTGTAACTTGGTATTATTTAATTTGACTAATATTAAGTTTAACATTTTGTCTTTGGTTTTAGGTGTTGCTCTACCCCACCTTCCTGCTGAAGCCCAAATAAATTGTCATTTTACCATGTTTGATGGGTTTCATGTTCATCCCATTTACATTAAAATAAATTCATTAATTAATTAATAACACTAATATTATCAATTATGGTAATATCAATTGATATTACAGTTTATCAATGATAATAATATAATATTAATAATATCGGAGTAGTTTGATCTACCTTCGTAGTTGTATATAATCGGATAACTTGTATTCGTAGCATTTTACATTCGGAGTAATATGTTCGGAGCATTATATTATCGTGGCAGTGAACTATAGTGGCAGTAGTAGCATCCCCGCTAAGCACTCAAAAATCTGTTCAATTGGTGGAATATCAGTATATCCATGTAACTTTATTAGGCTAAAGATAATTGCCTCTGTTCAGTTAATAGCAGTCGTGCTAGAAACAAAGAAAAATATCAAATGCCTATAAAGTTCAAATAGTTAACAATTAGAAAAAATATTTTGAAAATGTTAATTTTCCAACCTTTAACCGCTATTGGTATAACACTTGTACTTATTATTTATATTTTTAATTTTAATATATTTTTTTCAGCGATGGTGCAGACTAATCTATTTGAAGAATGTGTAGATGAACGTGAACTAATGAGCGTACAATTTGCTATGTTATGAACTTGTAAGACGGATGCGACAAATGACACTGTAACGTTCCTTTAATTTCCATAATTATACCATCTGCATAGTTGTTAACTTTTAATTGTATCATTTTATTTGGTAAGTATACAGAAAAAATTTTTAAGCCTGGTTACTTCATTTTTATGTTTAAATAATATTGTATATTGTATTCATAATATTGGTATTTTGAAATTTTAAATTATGTTAAGAACGATATTTTGGAATACTTTGATTTTTTACAACATTTTAGGAGTATTTTGTGGGAATACCAACTCATTGAGCTAGTATCAATTTAAAAATTATTTAACAGACAATTATCTTTAGTATTTCAAATAGAACTTCTTGGAAACTTTTCATTTAAATTTTGATTACAATAAGTTAATATTTTCAGAAAATTAATCAATTTCACTATTCGCATTAAAATATATACCTAGGTTCTCATTTAAAAACAAATGTGTCCACAGGTTGAAGTGTTGAGAAAAATCAAAGTATTCAAAAATATCTTACAATTTTCAAAAACTAAAATTTTAATTTATGCATAATCTAAACCTAAAAATTGTTTAAGCATGCTTAAACAATATCCCTGCACAAACAAGTTACTAGTTGGTCTATGTTATAGCCAACAACATATTTTAAACTTGAATTTTGTACAAAAATATAATTAAACAACTATATCAATCAAATCTGACATACCTACCTACCTAAAATCAATGTATTTATAATTAAAATTGCATTTTATTTTAGGAGAAGATTTGTTCACATAAATGTACCTACAGAAACAATTTTCGTGGACGCTGGAAAACTATACACCATTTCTTGTATACACGACACTGATACACGGTTAGGAGATGAAACACTTTCACAACATGATGTGATTGATTATCCCTACCTACTGCAATTGTTTATCGATATTATTTCAGCCACCATTAATGTGATTGGTGTGTACATTCTGAACACCAAACTACAGTTGCCCGAAATGTTTATCGGTAGGCGGTACCACTGTTGCAGCACTGGGAATTTTAAAATAGGTTAGTATGGTGCACAAAATTATGTAAAAAACATTTTTTTCACAGACGATAATAGTTTTTGAAATAATGAGTTTCTTACATTAAAAGATTCATCCGGCTCATCACGGTAGAATAATATGATATATATGTTATAATTTATGGACTACAGGTATTTATAAGCAATAACTTAAATTATATTTTACGATAGCTGCCAACAAACTGCACTACTGCAGTAAATCTTCTTGCCCCATAGCTCTTACAGTTTGTCATAAGTATAACTGATAAATAAATTATAGCTTAACCTGTGAATTAAAAAAGCCTTGATTATTTAATTTATTTATATCATAAACATTTTTAATATTCCTTTTTATTATAATCGGTAATGCACTTACACTAATGATCATTTACTATGCAAACACCCAGCTCGTGTGCACATATTGTCCATATTTAACTCTTTAAAAATTAAGCCATACAATTATAATTTTAAGTATAATAGACAACAAAATAATGTATTAACATTGAACCTGTAAATTAAAAAAACTACATTTGAAGCAATGGACTGTTTAGCATCTTATAGTTGAGACCAGGAGGTAATTTCTATTAAAATGATTGACCTTTTTAACTTTGGTGGCAATTTTACTTGTATACTTATATGCACCTGTCTATGCGGGTTACGATCCGTAAGCACGGTCAGCTCCCATTTCGCCGCCATTTCATTTCGCCGCGGTACCGTTTCGCCGAATTTATTTTTTCGCAGTTCCATTTCGCCGAATTTATTTTTTAAGTAACTCTTTAACTCTCAACTTAAGGTTACTCAAAAATTATTCATTATTTTATTTGTAGTTAATAAGTAATAATAATATTTTCAAATGAATCATTAATTCATCAATTGATAATACTCATAATAATATTATCCCAAATCTGCAAAATAATTTGATTTTTTATACTATTTTTTTTTTTTAATATTCCTACTGTAATGACGTGAAGTGTGAACTATGAGATTTTGATGCGTGGTAGATAACACCAGTGATTTGAACCCATTGATATTTGCATAAATGCATAATAATCATGACTGTCAGAACTAGTAAAAATCCTAACTTTTCTTTTAATTATTACGTATACAATGCAGTAGGTATAATTATTATTTTAAATTATTATTATTATTTATTTTGAATAAATAAATAAATAAGAGTGGTCAATAAGTAACTCTTAGCTAAAAAAATAAATAAAAAAATAATAAACAAAAACGAATATTTCAAATGCCTATAAACAGCATTAAAATAAGTGAAATATTTCAAAAATTTTTTATTAAACTTTTTATAATAATTTCCTTCGGAATTGGTTCAAGAGGGTTTTCTTTTGCTCTCAAACGAAGTTTGGCCTTAAAACGTTTTTCTTCAATTTTAACTGGACGAGGACTGTGGTTATGATTACAAAACTTATCGGAATGTACAGTGAATTCATCTGAAATTATTACACGAGCTCCACAGTTTTCAATACACTTCCAATATTTTTTATTTTTTATTTTTTTATCAATTCTAAAATAATAGTTATTAAAAATAATGCACTCCCCTTTTCGCTGTGTAGAAATATATTCAATATTCGACATTATTATTTAAAAATTGTGAACTGTAAATGCGCAAATACGTACTGGTGATAATCATATGACACTGACTGTGGTAACTTTGCATTTATCGCTGCGACGACACACTATTCATTCTATTTTATTTATATAATTATTGGGGATTTATCAATCGATAACTTCAGAATTGAGATAGTATAGCACTAAGATCGTTTCAAACGATAAATATATCTGATAAATATTTCTCTGTGTCTATTTATCACTTTTCAAATCACAAATTCATAACCATGTTCTAAGACAAAAATAATTTTATGCGGCGAAATGGGTCGGCGGCAAAATGGGATTAATTTGGCGGCGAAATGGTACCGCGGCGAAATGAAATGGCGGCGAAATGGGATACGACCGTAAGCACGCACTTAGAAAATAGCCTATTTTGAACACTTCTTAGTTATAACTATAATTATTATTGTTATAAGTTAGAAGACTAAAATTTGTATTCTGCCGTAATTACAATGCTGTTATGATTTCAGGTAAAATATTTGCATTCTTAAGTGTGATCGAAAATTTTGGAGTATTACTCCACTCACCGATGTACACTGCGGTCTAACATAGATATATAAAAGTGTACTTTAGAAGTTTCAAGTACCCACGAATAATATTATACAATCACAACAAAATAACTAAAGTAGTTATTCTAGGTTTTTTATTATGTAATTTCATCTAAATTTGTACTTAAAATGACTATAAAAATAAACTGTCCAGTATTTTTTTGGTAACAGAATTAACTACTTACTTCCTTAGATATAAAAGTTGAAAGTTGTATAAACTTTTAACTACAAAATAATTATTCAATATTTGATAAATTTTTGAAAATAACTGGAATTTTAAATTTTGACCTTCTCAATGCACCAACGATATTAACTTTCCAATCAAACAAGATACTGAAATTGATAATCGAAGCATTATTTCGACTACTTATCGTATACACAGACACAAAAATGAAATAAAAAAATTAAAAATTAAAAAAAAACACACATCATTGTAAAATCAATACATTCATCATTTCACTCAGAATCTAAAAATATTTTAATAAATGATAATAGTTTTTGAAAAAATTAGTTTATTACATTAAACGGATCATCCGGCTCGTAACGGTAGGCTAATATAATATATATGTTATAAATTATAGCCTACAAGTATTTGTATTAAATAAAAATCAATATAGTATAAAGTTAATAATCTTGTAAAGTTTTTGAGTAAATGTATTTAAATACATTTTAAATTAAGAATTTGGAATGTATTTTAAACACTGACTTGGGCTTTTTTACATTTTAAATTCCAATACCTTCATAGTTTCATGTAAATACATTTGCGCACATGCAGTGTGTGTGTAGATGGCGCGGTACCCGCATACAATCACACCCACACTAATCATCATTGACGACCAATTTGGCAACAACAAAACTGCGTATTGCCTAAATATTGCCTCTTATTAAAGACCCTTAAGCAGGCCCCTTAAGTATTTCATAATTAAAATATAACAATTTTTTTTCATTATAATTTAAAGTGGGTAGTTCATAGTTCTAATGATACTTAATGTGTCATTACAACTTGAAATTAGTTAGTAGTTACTAATTAAAAAATTAATTTTCTTACCTATTTTTACAATTCAATAAGCAAAATTAAGTGTATTAATACTATTTTTGTAATGCATGTATTAAATTCTATAATGCATGTCAAATATTTGTTTTTAAACAATTTTCTTAAAAGTCTTAGAAATATAAT